AAATGCTGACTTACTGAAATAGCAAATAATAAAAATAAGATATATGAAGGATTGAGTTAGCATATCTAATAATAGTTTCTATTTAAGAATTAAATCCTACTAACTTGTAAAACAGATTGTAATAGAACTGAAGTTAAATATTAACTAATTATAAAATGAAATCAACCACTAAATTAAACCAAAGCTCTATTTATTCTAGCAATTCTTTGTATAAATATTGATTATACTTAGTCTTAGTGATGCTTTCAATGTAGATTTCCTCAACTCTTTCATGTAAAATTGTTTGATTTAGAAGCAACTTATTTTAGTAAATATGATTGACATAATCAACCTAAATAATGGGATGATGTTGTCTTGTAAGCCTCCTGACATGCATATATTCAAATCATTCTCAGTCACCTTTTGGTACAAACAAGGAAACACAGATAATTTCTACAATATAGTTGAGTTGAAAAAGTCATTTTTAATTTACTATGATAAAACTGCAGAGATGATAAACTTCTCAAACTAAGATATTAACAACCCTACTGATGCCTATCTGAGTATTACTAAAGACAAATGGCACTATGTTGGGCTTAGTTCAAAGGAAAATTATGCTTATCAATTTTTTGTAGATGAACTTCCCACTAAAGATAGAAGCTTATAATAAAATAAGGTAAGAATTGAAATATTAAAAATAAAATAGGACTATTAACCATATTTAATTTTTGGAAATGGGAATACTAATTCTAATCTGTATTTCGCATAATTTATTCTTTGGAAAATATATATAACTCCTTCAGACCTCATTAATGAAAGGTTAAAGTAAATTAGAACTTTATTCTCATTATTATTTTAGTCTGAGATCTACTACATACGAGTACAAAAATATGCTGAGATATTTTAGATTCGATAAAATTTTAAATGGAGAACTAATCTACGACTACTCGTTCTAGAAAGAGCATTGCGTAAACTTTCAATCATCTATCTGGACAAAAGATTCTGTTGTAGAAAAGATTTTGACTCTAAACTCACTAACTTAAATTGCAGTAGACACTTCATATGAAAACTGGAATCTCGTATTGAATTAGAATGGAATTAGCATAAATCCACCTCAAAGAATTACCAATTATGAGGAGGGAATAACTATTGAGTTTTGGTTCAATTTAAAGAACCTTCCCTCCACTTCGTTTGAATTGATATTGTTCTACTTAAATGTACCATCCTAAGGTTCTTTGTATCAATATATGTCATCTGCAACTAATCTTTAGCAATTGTTTTTGAATTATTAAGGATATGCATCTTCCTTTTCATTTTCAGGTTCAGTAACTGTATAGACAAGTAATTGGTACTATTACGTTATAACTTTTAATCCGAGATCAAAGTGTTTTACTCAAATAATAGGAAAAGGAGAAGTAAACGTTCCTAGACAGAGTAATAGAAATTGCTTCACTTCTGCAACATCTCCTTTATATAATAACATTAATATGCTGAAGTTTATGTATGTCTAAAATTGTGGTTCAGACTGCTCATCATTTTAAAGCTTCATTTAAGAGATCAAAATCTGGGATACCATCAGAATAGACAATTTGATTTGGAGTTATTCAAAAACTATAATGACTAAAATAGAAAATCCAGCATTAGTTGGATACTGGAGATTAATTTATGAGATATAGAACTATGGCAATTATGTCTTCGATTATAGTGTTAATTCAAATGACCCTGTAGATGTTAGTAGTTTGTCATGGCTTACTCCTTCTTCACTGCTAGAACTTTGTTAAAATGACTAACTATTAGACATCACAATTTTCACTTGTTAGTCGTATACCTAATAGTAATCTTCATTAACTGCAGCAACAAGTTAATTTAAATTTAATTTCCAAAATTCAACTCATTTACTAATTAATAACGTCATAATGGGAAGCTGGGAATGGACTGCAGACTTTTGGATGTTAAAAAACTCTGATACTGATTATGCAACTCCATTCTATATTGGAGAGTATGAATATCATCATAATTATTTCGATGACTACTAAATGATGCCTTAAGTAATGTTTAACATTTAAGGTTGTTGGATTAATACGACTGTATACTAAGATTGTTATATGAAGAGTTTTAACGATGGTAGGTACTCTACTGCAATGACAAATTTCTACTAAAATTGCTCATTAGAGAATAACTCTACTCTGGGTTGCTAAAATCTTTGTCAGTATTCATCTAACTGTGATAATACTTGTGACACTGTCCATAAGTGTAAAATCTATTGTGACAATGCTTAATTATGCAAGGGATCATTTAAAAATTCTATTGATCCTTAATTTACTTGCCAGTCATCCAGCAAGACATGTAATGCTACTTTTACTGATAATTCTAATAACATTAAGCTAAGCTGCAGCGGAGTCTAAACTTACTGTGGCATTACTATTGACTCGAGTAGTAGCAACAATATGGCAGTATCTGGTGATCTAAGTTTTTCAATTGATTCTATATTAGATTGTTAATCTTCAAATTATTGTGAAATTAAGTCAACTACTACATACAATTAGGTCTTAGATTGTACTAGTGCCACAAAGTGTAGTGGGAACTTCACTGATGCATTTGTGACATCATCTACTGCAAGTGACTATTATAATGTCATAATTGCAGTTTCTGCAATTAATCCGTCATATACATTTTCTAACTCAGATAGAATAGCTCTAAATTGCTGGAAAGCTGAGAATTGCTAATTATTCATTAATAGTCCAAGGAATCTAAATAGAGATTGCTCCTATTCGACATAATATCATAAAATTAATGCTTAAGCTACTACTGGCTATAATTTCTTCACACTTGATTAAAGCTCATCAGTTTACCATAACTTCTTAGCAGCTATAGATTGCTCTAGTTCTTCCTCTTGCTAAAATGAGATTAAAAATGGGCCAATATGTTCAACTAACACCAAATTGCATATTATTGAATGCGACAATGCAGTTCAGTGTATTAATAGCTTTACTAATACTCATCTCGTGTCCATCTAATGTGAATTAACTAAAACTTGTACAAATACTATCAAAACATCAACATTGCAAGATATTGGAGGTATTTATAAGCTTTATCCTTACATTAAGTGCAAAAGTTCAGATGCATGTACAACTACACTGACTGATGTCGATTATTTTTAACTAGATTGCTATAATACTAAGTCATGCGTCGTAAAACTAACAGGAACAACAAGTAACAATGAAGTAAGTGGTTCTGACACAGATTTTAAGCTGTACTCATATATAAACTGTTAAAAATCATACTCATGTAATTTGGATATCACTAACGGAGCCAATTATGTATTTGTTGATTTACAAAATTCTCAAACCTTGAGTTCTTCTTCAAGTTCAATTTCATTTACAGGCACAATTTCTACTAACGAGGCTTTTTATCCAGTTATTTTAGCTCAATCAAGTTAATCTGTTCAAATATAGATAAAATAAACAACAGATGCATTCATAGATTGTGCATACGCAACATCTTGTGTGATTTCACTTGACACAATATATAGATCTGCTACCTCATTAACTTCACCGCTTACCTATCCGTAAATACTGAATTTAACAGAGGCAACAAGTAGCTCTGTGACAATAAATAATTCTCCTGCAGCATATATCAATTGCAAAAAATCAAAGACAGCTTGCAAAGGAACTATTTCACTCACAACAACATCCTACAATAGTGACACCTGTAATAGCCCATATACCATATTCAATAAAATGGATTGCTCAGAATCAACTGGAAAATGTACTATGATTTGTGCATCTACAGCAAAATTCTGCTAATTGAATTGCCAGAAAGCTAGCAATTGCTTTTCAACATTCACTTAATTAGCTGATTCTAGTTATCCTTATGTTTGTTCTCTACAGATATTCCTGAACTATGTTGATTGCTCGTCTCCAACTGCTACTTGCACAAATACAATGTCATAGACACCATTTTACTATGTAAAATGTGAGAATGTTTGCACAAACTCTTTGAGCACAGTTGTACCAGTTAGTTAGAGTCCTAATGGAAATTTAAATCCAGACTATTCTATATACCCCTACATAAATTGTGATTATACAACAGCAACTTGTACGAACACTTTGGCTAATGTTTATGAATTTTACATCAATTGCTAAACATCTTTAAAATGTAAAAATACTGTTTCAGGATAATCAACTTATTCCTACTAAGTTTATTAAGATTATTCAGTGCACTCTATGTACTCAATAATAAATTGTGAAAAGTCAAAATCTTGTGAAAATTAAATCACTTCTCATGTTCCTATTTATATTAATTGTAAACAAGCTACTTATTGCAAGAATACAATTTTAACAACTAATGTGGTTTTTACATTTATGGGCTTTAGAATATATCCTCAGATTGAAGCAGATTATGCAACAGGCTAAATCATCAACATAGTTACAACAGCATGGGGTGTTAGGATTTTATGTTCAGCTGTTTCCACTTCTTCTTGCGATAATACATTGTCGACTGTATTTGATTTCATAATCGATTGCAAAATGCAGAATTGCAATAATGTTATTAGTACAGGAGCAAATTCTGTTATTTCAGATTATACAACTACTCTAGAGACCTAATATTCAATAATCAAATGCAATGGAAAGGATGGTTAAATTTGCTCTAACTCGGCAACCTCAGCTAATTAAGTATATATAGTTTGCAATACTTTTAAAGTCAAATGTACTAACACAATATCTACTGCAAATTAGGTTCCAATAGCTGACTCAACATATAATTCAGTAAATTTCCCATACATAAACTGCAATGGGCTTTAATCACCAGGATCTTGCACAAACACTATTTCAAGTTATAATGTAGCTTTAATAGATTGCGAAGGATCAATTAATGCTTGCACATCGACACTTTCTACAGGTCCTTCAACTCAGCCATCATTTGAGAGCCTAATATCTTGTTACAATACCAAAAAATGCTCAGGCACTTGCACTTCAACATAATTTTGCATAATTGATTGTGAAAGTTCATCAGATACTTGCACTTCGAAAATTAGTTTGAGCGTTAGAAGTACAACCCTTGCCACTAATACCTTAGCTTATCCTTTTGTAAATTGCTATTCTGCAAAATGCTCTGGAACTTGCGATTAATCCACTGATTGTCTTCTTTATGGTTATTAATCTCTTTCAGGAAGTACATATACAGTTAATAAAGCTTCCAGCACTTGAGGATACTCTGTTATTTATGTTGATTCATCTCCATCTGTAACAAACACTTGCTAATAATCAGAGAATTGCTTTATTTACTGTACCAACTCATATAGTTGCACTAATACTCTTAGATAGCTCTCGACAAATATTATATATCACAATTTGGTTGATTGCAAAGGATCTTCGTATTGTATTAATTATTGTATTAGTTAACTTGCATGCTACTTTGATTGTTCAAATGTACCCACTTGCACAACTTCCATTGCTACCTCTAATTAAGGATCATATTTAAATGCAATATACCCTACAGTCAATTGTATCTATGCTGAAACTTGCACTACCACTGTGACATAGAGTGATGGATTTTTCGTAGATTGCAGTTACAGCACAACAAAATGCTCAACTACTATTTCAAATAGCCCAAGGTTTTCATATTCATACAAGTAAAAAAGTAATGTTATTTCTTATGTAAAAGGTTAGTATGCTTAGTAAGTTGAGGTTACAATTACTAATTCAAAGCAAGTTGTGGTTGACTGTAGGTATGCCAATATCTGCAAAGTTACTATATCGAATTCATAATATATCGAAGTGGATTGTTCTTATACTGATACTTGTACTGTAACATCCGATAAATCCAAAAACATTTAAGTAGTTTGTGTTGATGCTTTAACATCTTGTACTTTAACTTTTGATGATACAAGCTCAACTACAATTCAATCAAATATTTTATTGGATTGTCATGATAGTAGAGTCACTCCCTAGCATAATTGCATAATTTCTTTGTCAAAAGTTAAAGATTCCTAAATCGATTGCTAAAATACACTTAACTGCAACATTATTAAAATTTCTGACACTAGTAATGACGACTATTAGGATAATGTTTTAGTGAATTGCAAATCTAGTTTGGAATGCTCAGTTACAACAGACAATGTGAATAATTTTGAACTTAATTGCTAGAACGCTAAATTATGTGTTTTGACTTCTAGTGACTCAAAAAATTAAATGTAGATTACTCATAAAGCAGACTGTACAAATGCTATCTCTTGCATAGTGTCACTAAAATATGTTGATGAAGTCTATTTAAGTTGCAATGGAGCTATAAACTGTGACATAACCGTAGATTAAGTTACAAATCTAAATATAGATTTTATTGGCTCTACTGCTTAAACATTGACTTGCTAGGACATAACTTCCTTTTCTCTCAGCTATACAGGATTAATATACGCCTATAATATTTATGGTTTCACAATTCCTAGTTTTTGCCAATCTGAGCTTACCCAAGAAGTTTTAGATGAAGATGGAACAGTAATAACTGATGCAACATACTCTATGAATACAGACAATACTGTGAATACGGCAATGACTTTGACTTTACAAAGTGTAAGCGTGGACTCAAGCTAATTCTAACTATTTCCAATGGTATCTGTTAGAGATATAACCACTATCTTTTCCTATAGCTCTTAGGTATCATTGGTATATGGTTTGCCTCAATATTTATCGACTTATTATGATAGACTAACTAATGCAAGAGCAGTATTAGCATTAAAGAGAACTTATACTTTCAAGAAAATATATTATATCACACCTACCAGATATACCTAAATTTACTAAAACTTTTATGATTATCAACCAGAAGATTTAATTGCTAATTATTATACCAGTCCTAGAGTTCAAGTCCTTAGTCCTCCACCAAATATTGATATCTCTGCAGCAGGAAATATGTAGCCTATAATAAGCAATACGTATTCTTTTAACTATACTCTAAATAATAATACTTGTTCGCCTGCATATTCAGGCTCTGAGTTTCTCAAGTTGTATCCTACATCAGCAAATATCTACAAATAAAAATATAGAGAGAGGTGCGAGTATTTAACTGGTCCATCATGGAATCACGTAGCTCTATACAATAAAAATAATATATTCACAATGTGTGTAAATAGCTACTGCGACTCATAAGTTGACATGTCAGGGACAAATATTTAATAAGAAATAAGATTTTTCTATAATTTTAAAGGTAAATCCTACGAATTTAAATTATGGAGCGGAAATTAATTGAATAAAATTCGATAGTTTGCAGGAAAGCTCGGCCCTTATTCTAAAATTGACAGCACAAATCTTCTTGCTTACTATAGATTCACTAAATCTACAATAACTTCTGATTTTCTATTTGATTTTGGACTTGTAAATTTCAATTATTTATTATCTGTAGGAAACTAATTTTGTGAATACAGGAGTAATTAGGGCTTATGATCTTGATTCTAAGCTTAAAAGTTCAAATTTCGACACTAATAACAAATTTGAGGTATTATTACATTATCATGATTATTATTAGATATGTGCAGATGGAATGTATCAAGCGTATAGATTTTATTGTTCAAGTAATTTTTTTATTTAAAGTGATTAATTTTAATAGATTAAAACTCAGTTCCTAGAGCAAGAAGAGCAGACTCAAGTAAACTTGTCTAATATTTAGCATTCAATGAACCGGCTTAATATACTTTGCATTTATGGATTAAAGCGTAGATAATAGTAGGGAGTACAGATTCTTTCTATGTGCTAGATGGATCAGCAATTAAAGTAACATTTGTAACAGCTGCAACAACTGCTACTCTAAAAACTCTAGTTTTGGGTTAAACTATTGAAACTGCATCCGTAATCCATTCATAATCTAACTAATGGCTGCTTTACAGTCTTGTGGGTTTAAAGAACAGCACTCATAGATGTTTCACAATGCACCTGTCTAACTATAAAGATTACGGAAACTACACTGTAGACTGTGAAAATCCTATATCTAATCAATGGGTATTCAATGCAACTCTATATATTGGTCATTCTTCAGGGTCAAAAACTGCTTCATACCTAAGCATAAAAAATCTGTTCTTTGTTAATTATCCATTCAATAGGTAGGAGCATATGATGACTTCTCATAGCGAGTAACTCATTAAAAAGATAGCTTTATTCCATTATTCTCTTAATAATGGAAAGTCTTCATACATTAGTGATTCTTTAGCTCCTTAGGGTTCAAATATTGCTATCACCTATTCAACTTAGGTTAATAATGTATCGGGATTCATATTTGAAAGGGATCAACTCGTGCCAAAGTATTGTCCTGAAGAGGGAACATAATTATATGATTTTTCATCAAATACCTGTGGACGTATGAAAATTTCTATTAAATACTTTTGTAGCTAAGAAAGTTATCTATTGGAATAACCAAAAATCTTATTCTTAGAAAGCAAGTATCTTTTCTAACATTAGCAATGGAGGAGTATTACCTCATGGTAATTATGACTTATTTTTTAGTTTTAATAGATAATGATTTCACTTTTCAATTTTATGTGTGGCTTGATAGTTAAGCGTCTGGAACATTTTAGCAGATATTTCTGTTTAATGCAGGATAGCGTAATCCAAATACTCATTTTCAACTTACAATATAGCTTAAACAATAAACTTAGGAGCTTACACTTAGACTTAATCATCTGATATAAGAGTTAATGGAGATTTTTACGGGTAAAGTTATGAAGTAACTGGACTAGGGAGCAAATTAATATCTGGATGGGTATTAATTACTTTCTAAAGAAAATACACGGCTTCACCCTCAAAATTAATAGGATATATTTATGCAGGCAATGCAGCATCAGCAACTGTGGAAAAATCAGCGTCGGCAACTAGTCACACATTTTCTAATTTAATGATATTAGGATAGAAAGTTGAATATTCGACTACGTATCAATTAATGGGGAGATTAGCTCACTTCAGAGTATACAGATACGCTATTGAAGATGTTTATGCGATTAACTTCAATAAATACTTTGATCTGTAATACAGTCTTAACTAGTATCGCTATTGGACTTTTGAGATTCAAAACTAAAAAAATAGATACTATGAAATCATTGATCCCTACAATATTATGAAAGATTCTACAGTTGACTACGGGAATACAGAGACATAGTAATCAACAGCATCACTTCTTAATTACTAGAAATACTGTAAGCCAATCTTAAATGATATTGTTTAACAAATATTTAATAGTGGATGATTATGATTTGGTTTATTCTGCTGTCACTTTAAATGGAAATTCAATTAATTCTTACTAGCTCAATACTTAATATTTTGATTGGACTTTAGAATTTATGTATTAAGCCTCTGCTGATTCAGAGAAGTCTAGCTTCTTATCTATTAGCAATTTTATCGATGTGGGATTAATTAAAGACAATGATAAGAGCTCTATTACTAAAATCTATTATAAAATTTAGATTACATATCATGGTAATATTGATTCAGAATTATTAATTTTAGACTCAGCTTCAACGACAAAATCTTTTATAACATAAAATTCCTATGAGCTTTAAAATACGATTTAAGTAAACCATATTGCAATTGCATATAGTTCTAAGATGAAAATAGCCAAATTCTATATAAATGGGGCATATATGGAGGTGTTTCAAATCTCATCAGTGTACTTATATTTACCATACTCATCTAGCCAGTCCATAGGGCTGAAACTTGATAGCTCTACCTATTTTAGGTACATTAAACTCTGGAATGTTTACATCAAGCCTTATCCAGCTTAACAGTTATTGTTTAAACTATCAAACTTCTAAAATTTAAAATCAAAGCTGCTAATATACTACAACATCAATAATAACGAGTATTTTTACCCACATCGTTTTATTTTCTATGACCAAAGACTACATAAAGCTGATGATACCATAAATACTGTGGATTCAAGCTCATCTTCAACTTCCCCCACATAGTTACTGAATTCTAACATTTGCTAAGCCAATTATACTTACTCATCATCAGGATGCTATCAAAGAGTATATCTACCCTTAGGATTAAACTATGCTAATTAAATTAAAATGCCGTTGCCAAAAGCAGGGGGATTTACTGGCTTATCAGGGTAAAGTGATTTTACAATATCCTTTTGGTCTTTATTAAAAGAAAAGTATCCAGGTGGAACATTAATTTAATTTGATTTCAATAGCGTAATTTAAATCAGAGAATAAGTCAGCGGTTCTGATTATTAAATTAAAATTACTACAAGTTCAGGATTAACTCAGAATCTTGTGACAAGATCTAATTTAGATTTAGCCATCACTCACTATACTGACTGGCACTTTTTCCATTTTATTTATGACTAATCAACAAGCAAGTTCAAAATATATATTGACAATATCTATTATTAAGAATTTTCCAGAAGTGTAGATCTCACAGTATCCACAGGCTATAGTATTACTCTATGTCCCAAATAATATGATCAAAGCCTTCCAGACTGCAATACAATTATAGCATATCTAAAAGTATATAAATCCAAAAGCATTTCATTCAATAATCAATGCGACTACAGACTACTCTTGAATGATTTCTAACCAAATATTCTTTCATACTGGCCTCTTACTTATTTATTATCAGATTTATCCTCAGACGTTCTATATGATGAAGGCCTCTACAATGGACTTTTTACTAGTTTAAAGCAACAATCTAGAACATCCAATTCTCTATGGATGACTATAAATGAAATACATCCAGAGGGGGGAGAAGATATTGCTATTTGCAGTAAGGGTTAACAATTCTCTCGAATTTTGGGTAAAGGAGAAGATTCAAGTGCTCTGCAGCAGATGAGATTCAAGAGAAGCAATTAGAATGTCGCTGTAGATGTTACATCTCTCACTAATCAAATGAATGACTGGTCTCTTGAATTCTGGTTTAAGTTTCAATCTGAGGATTTCTACCCTTACAACTATCCAGACAATATTTTTATTGCAGGACACGACAGCTGTACCAGTGGTGTCATTTTTACTCTGAATCTTTAATTATTGACTGATAAATACGAGCAAATTAGATATCCAATTATTTAAGTTACAGATCTGACTAATTCTCTTTCAAAGGAATTCAAGAATTAGAATTAAGAATTGAAAGATAGCTTTTGGTATCACTTCGGTATAACTCATGATTACCTCAAATCCTAGATATTCACACTACTAGCATTTTAGCAAGTTTCAACAGACTTTAGTGGAGGTTCTACTGGCTTTGATAAATTAGCTAGTTGCAATCTTTAACTAGGAGATAAGAATGGTCAATCCTCTACATCTTACCTAGATATAATGATTTTTATAAGAGAACTCAGATCTTGGAACGTGGCTAGAACTAAAGGCGAACTACTTTATTATTCAAACTAGCCTCTATTCAAAGGAACACCACATTTAATCTCTTACATTAAATTTACAGAAACAGATTTGTAAGTTTTTGACTTGGTTAAGAGTTTATGGTCATATGATAATACTGCATAGTATTCTCTATCAGATACTATTGTTAAAATCTAAACTGATGGCTCTGATTACTTTATGAATGGATGTTCTCCAGGATAGACTATTGGAACCTTGAATTCAATCTATGGATGTAATCCTTATACTTCCTATCTTTATGGAGACAAAGCCGACAGTACTGCTTAAATAAAGATGGAAATGAACAGTAAACTTAAGAAAAGCATCAAGCAAAATGACATTCAAATAACAATCGCAATTAGCCTTAAAGCCTTATAAGACAGTGAAAAATTCACAATATTCGATTTAGCTGGATATTTCCAGCTCTATAAGTATTATAGCGCATACTACTTCTCAATTTAATTATCAGGGGGAGCAAAAGAAGTATCTCTTAGTGGTCCTTATTACTCTACTTCAGACGGAACAAAATATAATTAAATGTTTATTTAGATAGATACAGAACAATAATTAATCACATTGATTGAGCATAAACTTACAACTATGACCTAGATTATAGTGGGCACTAAAATTTAGCTAAAGTCTTATAATCAAGTGAAATATTCTGATTATATCACAGTTGGAGATACAACAGATTCAACTTTAAACAAGGAAGCTATAAGCAATATTGTGATCTTCAATAAAATCTTGACAAAAAATGAATTAGATATGATAGCAAGAGTAGGAATCAAATCTTTTTCTGGACTAGACTAATCAATCCTATATTAATTCTTGCCGAATTCAAATGATAATATTTATGATAGGATAGAAGCAAGTTCTTTATTTGCGATTTAATCATAGGCTTATCCAGGTTGGACGAAATAATCAGTTCATGGGTTTATGACTCAAGCATATGATACAAGAATGACTTAGATATGTCCAGTAGGATATAGACTACACTTTAACTATGAAACCACAAGCAATTTATACACTTACTGTGTTGAAAAAGCAACTTTATTTTTGCAAGGAACAAATCCTCTAACTTTAAGTACAACTTCCCTTAAAGAGAATATTAGATACGCGATGACTATAAGTGAAAGGTTCAAGGTATATGATTTGAACTCAAATGATGGGGCTAAAATACAATTATTTCTATGGTAATCTGCATTAGAACTTAACTTAAATACCACTCATTTAGAATTACAATTGTACAATGTAACTGATAAAAAGTAGTCTAAGCAAAATTTTACAACAGTTCAAACAACAGCGGGGGTTGATAACAAGTGGCATCACATAGTTTTAACCTTATTTAAAATGAAATGGTATTTATATCTAGATTATGCTCTTGTTTTAACATTGAATGATACCTATTATTAGTATAACGTTACTAATTAAGATGCTGATACATTTAACATAGAGTTATTATAGACATAGAGTATAACGCGTTTGGCTATATAAGATATAATGATTTTTGGGATGCCTATTAGTGGAATAGAGCTTTTGCCCAAGTAATATTCTGGATTATTTAATACAAAATTATATAATGGAGTTATGATAAATTACTATAATTTTGATGAAACGTTTTTGAACTTCTTTAGTGATAAGTCTTATTATTCTAAATAAACAAATATTTTAGCATCACAAATTGGAATCAATAAAGATGATTAGTTATTTTGGGGTTATGAATATGAAAATAATAAGTACTATCGATCTTAAGATATAAGTTTAGTTACATCAAGCGAAGGATATGATGTGGTTTACGCAAAAGATAGAACAATAGTTTTAAATAATAAGCCATTAACGCTATCAACAACAACCAAATTTGATAGTGAGTTTTCAATTGAACTTTGCTTCTATATAACAAAAGATTAAGTTGCTTTAGCAGAGTTGATAGGAATATATTAAGGGGCTTCCTCTTTTACTACAATATATTTTAATTCAGATGGAAAAAATCTAACTTTCAATCCGAACCAAAATGTTAATGCAACAAATAATACATATAATATTTTAATTGGGTACTAAAACTAATGGGAATGCATTACAGCTGCTTCCTCCTACTTTTTAGGAAATGCCTTCTTTGCTAATTTCTTGAGAATACCTGACGATCAGTAGAATTATTACATGCAATTTTAAGAATCAATATAAACAAAGTTTCCAACCACACCCTTGCCAAATATAGCAAGATCGGTGATAATTGGAAGCAAAAATTTTATAGGTTCTATTAGAGAAGTGAGAATATGGTCGATGTATTAACATCCTGGACTAATGAGGAGATTTTACAGATCATTACCTTTATTTTTCCATAATGAAAATCTAACTCTTTATTATCCTATGAATGAAGGGATGGGAGATACTCTCTATGACTTGGTTAAATTATAAAGTGCAAAAATATCACTAAGCTTGACTCCTTGGGTAAAATACCAAGTATACAACGAATTTTTCGAAGTGTGTGAAGCTGAAAGGATATATTCAGAAAATGGATACTGCTTTCATTAGGATAAGTTCTTATAATTAGGATTTGATTCAAAAATTAAGTTCACTATTACTAATTCCACTAAGGATAAATATGCACTTATGACTCATGCAACAATCTTTATGTGGTTAAATATTCGTCATATTAATACAAACACTTAAGCTTCTCTTGATTTATTCAAGCTAACTATTCAAGATAGATTCACTGTGACTCTTGACTAAAATAGACTTTTAACACTTAATACAAATTTAGAAAAAAGTATAATGAGTAATCTTAATCCAACAGGCATAATCAATTAGTGGGGATTTTTATAAATTGGTTGTAGTTAGTTTGTAGGATCATGTGAAATTCATTGGGGATCTTTAAAGAATAATCCTACATCTATTTCCTTGGACTCTGGAACAAAAAATGAGGCTGTTTACACAAACGAACTTAATTTTTGGAAAAACATATCATCTTGCTAGATTTAATTCGTACCCACAACAGAAACAACTATTTATTCAATATACATAAAGGAGTTCTAAATATACAATGTGCTTCTTCCTTATTAATCCTATCGATTGAAACTTTCTTTAGCAGTAAAAACTAAATAAGCACCAGCTCTTATTATGCATCTTAAAATGGATGAAATGAGTGGCAAAAGACTCTACAATCATGTCTTTAATTAATCAGTGTCCTTTACTTACATATATGTAGAAGATGCAAGCTGGGTTTATTTCAAATAAACAGTTGATGAGGACAATGATCAGAATACTAATAGAATAAACTATTTTTATTGTAACAAGGAAAATTATACAATGTTTGGTGATCATTGCGAATATTTTTAATGCAGTTCTTAATGCTATAAAGATTAATTTATTGGCCATTGCAACGGATGGAATGAAACTGACTGTGCATATCTAAATACTAATGGAAATGGGATAGTTTATGATCCAGTATACAATGATTATCTTGCTTGCTATAGATATTGCAAATCTTGTGATGTGCCTTATCTTAATACAAGATGCCCAACTTGTATTGATTCAACATTTCAATACGTAGATTATTAAAAAGGCAAAAATTTATATGCAGTAAGCAATTTCAGTTGCTGGGATTATTGTCCTACTTCAACATATCCAAACCGTGATACTTATAAATGCATTGACTGCCCAGAATACTGTGTATGTGATGAAAACTCACCCACAAAATGTCTATCTTGTATGAACAGCACATTCATTTGGGATAAACAGAGAAATATTTGCTTGCTTGAATGTCCCCTAAAAACGTTGTATAACAAACTAACTTAGACATGCCAAGATTGTAGCTATTTCTGCTAAACTTGCAAGGGATTTACAGAATACGATTGTACAAGCTGCATTGATGGAAGAAGTATGTTCACTCTTGCTTCTAATAATAAGACTGTATGTGTTGATCGATCCTGTAATGATGGATATTATTTTTCAGATTCCTTAGCATCTTGCGAGGCTTGCAGCAAAGCTTGTGAAACTTGCAATGGGCCAGATACAGAGGGTAAAAAATAATCATATAATTTTAAAATAGATTGCATAACTTGTGGGAATGAGTACGAAAAATTCAACGGTTTATGCTAAGACTGCATTACAATTTCATAGCAAGATGAAAAGTTTGCAGCTACTTTCAACAAGAAAAAAGAGAGATGCAGCGAAGTATGTGGTGATGGTTTTAATATGGGAATCGATAGTTGTGATGACGGCAACATTTTTCCTGGGGATGGCTGCGGATCCGATTGCTAAATTGAAAAGGATTTTGTATGTGAATTTGGTAGTTTCACTTCAGCAGATGTCTGTCATAGTACAAAGAGTATAGCCTACAAATCAGATTTAATAGTAATCTTTAACTTATACATTACAAAAATAGCCATCAAATACAGTTATTGGAAGTGGATACATAGATGTTAGATTTGCAGAGTTAGTTTCCTTTAACCAGTCATATTAAAATAGCTTTAAAGATAAAATTGTTGTGAAAGTTAAAGGTCCAGATGAACCATATACTTATACAATCTAATTAGAAATAATGAATGAAAAGGATCCATAGTTTTAATTTATTAGGATAAAATTCAATGCAGATTTCGACAATTTAAACAATAAAATTGTAAGTTTCGACCTTAGTTTAAATTTTAATAAATAGTATTTTGATATCAATATCTTGGTGGGTGATATGTTCCTAACTAAAAATAAAGTTGGAGTTTAAAGTGGAAATAAATAGGTCTTTGCTCCCCTAATAAAAAGAGCTAATAATGCAGCAAAGTCAATAGGAACAGTTATGGCTGGCTTCTAAAATGTCATGATTATATTTCTCATAACTAATCTAGCTCTATCAGTGATATTGTAATTTTTAATGAACTTATTTTTTAGGGGTGATGGGCTTTAACATATGTGGAATTTAATTAATTATCTGCAGCTCCTATATTTTTTGCCATTGATAAATGTCAATTTACATTCATTAGCATAAGTTTGCTTTTAATTGTTGGCTTTTGCTACAGCAGACTTTTTTTCATTCATTCCTTAATATCTAGATCTCTTCATAAATTTAGATAATCTAGATGATTATTAACCAAACGAAAGGTATTCCAACTTAAACTTTGAGGGAGTATATCTTGTAACAAACTATTATTAGAAATTCCAAGTTTTTATCATAATGTTCACTCTATATCCAATATTTTGGCTTGGTTCAAGGATTAAGCATAATATTATTTCCAAGCCATTCAAGTATTGCTATGAAACAATGAGCTATAACTTTCCAATACAATTCTTTACAGAAATGTATCTTGAACTTGCTGTTACAATTTGGATAAATATTTACAATGGTTTATACTTGAATAACATTGATCAAAGAATAGCTAATGGAATAGCAATAGTTGTATTTATGATTGTTACTTTCTATCCTGTATGGGTATATTCAGTTATCATGAATAGATTCAATGTCCTTGGTTCTCATACTTTTCATTCTAAATTTGGAGCTCTTGTTGAAAGCATATAATACAAACTTAACTCTACTCTAAATTAAATGTGGGCTCCTCTATTTCTCTTCAGAAGATACACATATTCAGCAATCTTAATTGTCTTATAAAGTTAGCCTGTGCTGTAGATATTTCTCTGTATTATCTAATCATTGATAGTAAGAATTCTTTTATTAATACTGTATAGACTTTAGTATTTCTATATAAAATTAAGCCATTTGAGAGCTGGGATTTGAATCTTCTTTTCTTTATAAATGAAGTTACAATCTTTATCAGTTTTATGATATGCACTTTTTTCTTAATGGACTATAGTGAAGCTGAAGGAAATATGATTTGTAATTATCATTATTTTGATTTTTATAGCTTGGGCTCTAATTTGTGTGGTATCTATTGATGTTGTGACAAATCTATGCTTTGTCGTTATAGACTTGTATAAGAAATTTAAGAAGCTCTTTAAGTCATTAATTCTGAAATTCAAAATATATAGAAGAAAGAAATAAGGAATGCCATTTGATGATTTGACAAGTTAATTTAAAGGAAAATAAAAAGATGAAAGTGAACACAATAATCTAATTAAAAATAAGAACAAATAAATGGATTTTTCAATGATACATTAAGCAACTCTAAATAATTTGATGAATGATAATAGTTCATAACTTAATGAATCCATTGGAAGATACAAAAGTCCATTTTCAACTAAAAAAGAACCTATTTTAGTATAATTAGATAATCCTAAAAAGAAGAAACTGTATAACTAACCTCCAAAAAATTTTGTATCAGCTAATAAAATGCCTGAAGAAAATTTTAAAACTATTCAAGGCGAGAGATAAAATTCAGAGATATCTATGAACGATATACCAAGAAATTAATCAAGGAAAGGATCTGATCTCGCTGATGAAGGTTTAAAAAGAAGCTTATCAAAATAATCTAATTAGGAAATTATACAGGAAATAATGAGATTAGATTAAATGGAATTAGGAACAGCAGAATTTAGGGTAATTTAACCTGAAGACTTTTTACACCATCTACCTAATAATGCAGAAAATAAACTCATAGAAAAACCAGCGAAAAAACAAAAGATTCAAGTAAATGAATTCGACATTAGTAGTTTCTCAGCATCTCCAAATTTTGATAGGAACTAAAATCAGATTAATGTCTATACTCTTGGCTTAAAATAAGAACAGTAGGAAGAGCCAATAAAATAGAGGAATAAGAAGAATAGTAAGAAGTAAAAGAAATTGAAAAAAAATTTACCTAAGATTGAAATAGGAAGCTTTGATTAGAATTAGGATACTTCAGAAATTCCAAATAACACTCAGATTGAAGATCAAGATGAAGAAGATTAGATTGCACTTGACAGGTTTTTGCAGTAAGATTATAGGCTTGATGTAAAATCTATGATGGAAGGTGAAGAAACCAAGTTCAATGATACGGTATCTCACAGTCTTAACCAAACAGGCTAAGGTTTGCTCAATGATTTGAGCCGATACAATTCTCTAAGCAATAGTCCTTTAAAGCATACACAGCAAGATAGGCAATCCCCTTCATTTGTTAATGAGTAGTTTTTTGTGGACTCAAGAGTACCTGAAAGCGTTAATGTTAATGCTTAATTGAAATAAAGCCAAGATATGAATATCTAATAGGATGAAGCCCCGGTATCTGAGTAATCACTGTAAAAACCTACAAATATTTTACTAAAAAGAAGAATGCATTAAACTATTCAAAATAGAGAAAAATAATTAGATGCAGTTAGTAGAGACTAATAAGAACAAGCAGAATCCAAGTCAAAAACATTCATGAAGAGTAAACCAAAGAAAAAGAAGAAAAAGCATCATAAGAGAGAAAACCATGATAATGAAGGTGAAGATGAAGATGATGACCAGGATCCTTTCAAAGCCTTTGAGCCTAAGTTTAAAGGATTTGGCAGGCAAGAATGAAAAGTATATAAATTCAAAACAAATAGCTAGAAGTAATGATTTATTAAATTAAATTTGATTTCATAAATTTAAATCGATCTCGATCAATGGGGTTTTGGGGTTTTGGGGTTTTGGGG